TATTGGTTGGACATTCTGTGGGCGTTTGTGGGGTCAAAAAACAATCCCGCATAGGCTTCCTGTCACTAAAAGGTTGCACAGGTCCACCAGTTTTTATCATCTGCTGCAAGAATAATGGTGTGTCTCGCTGTCTCTCACGTCATCCATGCTTTTCCACTGCTGGCTTTTTCAGAGTGAGAGTCGAGGAAAACCATGAATATAATCTCAGTAAGTTCGGTCTGTGACAATCGGTAGGTTTGGTAGATTTGGTCCAGTGGCCTCAGTACTAACGAGTAGCTGCAGCAGTAGTTTGCAGCGGAAAACTAGCAGCAGGGTCAGCTGTTCTGTTATGTATAGGACAGCAGTATGGGCATTCTTTGAACATTGAAAACCCATGTCGCTCTGTCCACAGGGGACATGCCCCTGCATCACCACCACTAAGACTCCTTTTTTCTAATTGATTTCAAGGGTATGAAGCCACTGTAAAGAAGTCATTTATTTTTTATTCTGATTCATATTTCATCTTGAGCAAAAGTGCACTTACACCAGGCTTTAAGTAGTTGGATAACAGCTGCAAATGCAATAATGTGCATTTCCTCCAAGCATTTCCTGCACACCTCTGAAAAGAAAAAAATGGTCATGAAAAGTCTTTGTGAAATTCATCTTTTAATGGTTGATGTGTACGCTCTCCTGTGAGAGACCACAATTCAAATCAATTCATTTCTCATTTAGGTTCCATCTGTGTTTGATTTACCTCACTTCCTAGTGTAGATTTGTTTCCTGCAAAGGACAACTTAAGGCTACAGGAAGAAAAACAATATAGACCAGTACACAAACCATAAGATTTATTCCCTATTCATATATGCTGAAATCCAGTATCCCAGGGTAACTCCTATGCTAAGAGTAGTGAAACAAAGCCTGCTTATTATGCCTGTATGCCTGCAGCATACTTTAAACTGTGTGATGGCTAAATGTGATAAAAAACAGCGCTAAACCACACTTTAGAGTAAGACAGTACATTTGACTTTGATGTACCTTATTTGTTAACGGTGTTTGAATGCATGTCCCTGTATCTTCACTAACATGAATTATTCCTGCGATAAGGAAGCTTACACATTCTGTGGAATGGCCTTTTGCTCCTTGGATGTTTGTTTTTTAATCTGGAACTTTGGAAGTATATTTTGCAACTATCATTTATACCAACTGTGTAAGACAGTTTCACATGGAGTATATCAACTACAAATATTCTCCATCACAGTTAATTTTGACACCTCATTTTAATTTAGTTTTAGTCTTTTTAGTTTTTTGTGTTTTGTTTTTGATTATGTTGGTTTTAGTGAACATATTTTAGTGTAGTTTTTGTCATTGTAATTTTCACATTACTTTGGTAGTGCATTTAATATATAGTATGTCTTTGTAGCATTCTGAGACTACATAAGTTGCCATCTTTTTTATAACATGTCACAGGCGTTGTTCTTTCGTTTGCGAAAAGGGCACTCTTAGGGATCACTCAGCGCCTTTCTTGGTCACTTGCAGCTAGATGGGTTCCCCACTATATTCAGAAGCTATATCACACCAGATTTCTGAAATGCAAACCGGGGACATTTTTGGTTTGGTGGTCAGTGTGTCATTAAAAAGATAATGTTATTATATATGAAATAAAAAAGGAGGACAATTTATAATCTGTCAAATCTGTCAAATGCCACCCTCGTGAATATAATGAAGTCATATCAGGCCAGAAATAACCTTTTAATCAATAAGTAGATGCTGCAGTCACTGTCTGGGTTGTATTGGCCATTTAAAGGTAAGAAGGACTGGATTGGTTGGGACACAGCAAGTTAAATAATTTAGAGTCATAAGGATAATTGCAAAAAAAGATCATGTCTTTATTTTATACATAACTCTGCAGTAAGTCATGTTAATTATAGGGTACAGTCTGTTTTCCACATATAAACAAGGACATTAGACAGAGCCCTAACAAACACACATTCCATTGGCAACAAAAGGCTTCTATTATTGCTTTAGTCACGTAAATGTAAGTGCTGGCTATGTATAAGCTGCAAACACTTATTTGGCCACAATTTTGATTATTCCGTTAAAAGAAACATTAAGTATCACAAAGACATACCTTTGCTATTACCACGGACATAAAGTGACATAAAGTTTGTATGTAATGTCTGCTTGATCCAGATAAAAGCAGCTGTAGCAACACACCTGTACGCTCTGCTGTCCAGTCTTTCTGGCTGCGTAAAATCTGATTTCAGGTCTGTTAACACCTTATACAGTCTATGATTAACACACAGTTAAAAACAGGGAAATTTCCAGGGACAGCTCCAGATGAAGACAGGCCACCAAAACCGGGGACTGTCCCCAGAAAACGGGGGTGTCTGGTCACCCTACTATTCACAATGAACAAAATACTGTCAGCTGTCAGAATCAATCTTGAGACAATCAGCTTATTATATTATATTTTCCTTTACCGGAAATCTGGGGGAAGATTTATGTGGGTGACAGCCTACATTCATTTTGCACTCATTCCTACTGATAACACATAAACACTAAACTGAAAGTAGCGCAGACATTACCATTACACAATAGTAATAATGTACATTAGCTGACCTCTTTACAGTTGAAATGTTGCTGTACTAACCCACCTGTTTTTATGGTTTGTCCTCGCTCTTTTGTTGTACTTTCTTGTCTTATGTTCAGTGGAAGTGTGGATGACTTTAGCCCATGAATCTGTTACATTTTTATCCTCCCAAGAATGATGGAAGAAGAATGATGAACATTACTTAGCTAACATTACTCAGACACTGAAATCCAAAATGTTGTTTATTAGTTCAGCAGTTCAAGCAGCTAAATCTATGTATACACACATTAAGGGGTCACATTTAAGGGGGCTTTTTTAAGGTCTATTCAAATAGTAGTAGTACAAAGATGAAATGATTCCTTCTTTGCATTTCCACCTATTCAGGTTTAACTTTTTTGTGATGTCAAGGTTAATGTTCTTATGGAAAGAAGATTGTCACTTATTATTTTTTCTAGTTCCTAGGTCCCTACACAAATCTGGCTTGGACTTTACAAACTACTAAAAAGTCCACATACTGCATTCCAGAGCACCTTCAGCTGACTGTCCAACATTACCTGCAACCTAATGCAAAAGTTTTTAAAACCACCATCCACATGAGTACATGAGTTGAACTAGCATGCTCTCTGCAATTCCTCAATCACCATTTGAGCTCCGGTCCTTTGTCGGTTGCTAGGCTGTCAATGACTCCACCGGTGGTGTGGCAGCTGGCTGGCCGCGCTTTTGATTTATCGAAGTGAGTGGGAAACTATGAAGCTTACTTTGTGACAGCTCAGAAGCTTTAAAATTTAAGATGTCATTGAACTGATGAATGGAGAGAGGAGAGGCTGAACCTGCCCGCTGGTGTCATATGTCACTGTCCAAAGTGATGAGGGACCCTGCCTGCCGCCCCGTTACACCTGCCCAAAGGCTCCGGTGGCAACCTTTCTTTACTGATGTTGGAAGAATCAGCAATATCATTTTCAGTAGAATAGAAGCCTATGGATGCTGTATGTTAGAGTCTGTTCAACTTCATAAAGATGTAGACAAATGTTTGCTCTCAGCTAACTTCATGCCTTAACCACACAGAGGACACCACGATGGAAGTTTTGCTCTCCTGCCATTGCTTATCATTGTCATGCACTCCAAACAGACACATGGCCTTCAAGTGCTGATTATATGATGGAACACTGATACGACAGAGTTTGGCATCCATATGTGAAATCCAAAGAATCACACCAAATTAAAAGCATATGGGACTCTTAATGTACATGTCTTGAGTACACTGGTAATTCAGATTTTAAATTGCATTACCAGAGACTACAGATGTAAATGATCTTATAGCTAACTCTGGTACAGCTAAGAAGCTGCATGTGCACAGTCCCTGTCAAATAAACAAATGAATGGAAAACACACCTGCTGACAGAGATAGATTTTCCCTTGCGATGCTGATAAATAAATTTGCAGTGGGTGACAAATGTGTATCCTTTTATCAGAGTAAGTGTCCGATTTGCTCTGATAAAAGGCAACAAGTAGGAACATTAGCATAGAGCTCAACTGGGGCCACCAACTCACTGCACTGTAAAGAAATAACAATGCACAGACGCAGCAAAGTATAAGGGAGCTGTTTCCACAACATCAATCAATGATAGATAGATAGATAGATAGATAGATATGTACTTTTTTATCCCGAGGGAAATTCAAGTATCCAGCAGCATACGAAACATACATACATTAACCCTATAATAAAATAAAATTAAAATTAAAATAACACAGTAGCCACAGTAAAACAGTGCAAAACAGTAAACAGTACAGATGGAAGTTGTAAAGAGTACAGAATACATACACCTTGGTTATTAATTGTTTGTCTAAACACCAGAATATTTAATTACTACATTGAAATTGGTCCACATACTGTACACCTTCATGTCAACTGAGGTATGGTAAATCATTCCTTGCATTTGTGTCCACTCATTGACTGTTGGTTTTGACTGGGCGCTGAAGAAACAGTTTTATGGTCAACATTAGCTCTTAATACAGCAGCAGGTTAAAACCCACTAAACTTTTTGCTTATCAAGCTAAAAGTGGCCACATTATTGTCATATCTATTTCAGTTTTTATGAATTATTCCTGTAAAGTGCTTTGTTGAAACCGCTAGGTCTAGTTTGTAAAGGAAGATGGGGATATCTATGTGACAGCATGTTAGTTATTAATGGCCAGTTGGTCATAATGATAGCCATTCAGCACAATGTCAGCCTATCTCCCCCAGTAATGCTTTATAGCCCCAGACTAACCTCCGCTCTGGAATTATCCTGCCATGTCTCAAGCTCCCTCATCACTGTTACAACTTTAAATCAGCCAGTCTAACTAGAAGCTGGACCAATTTGGAAACACGCATTCATCTTGCTAACAAGAATTAGTCCCCCCTCCCCTCTTTTCTCTGATGTCTCCACAGCTGTACAGCTCAGTGGACTTTGGCAGAAAATGGCAGCTCATCCACGAACACGTCACGCCGAACAGATTCTACTGGTGAGTCATCATTTGTCTTCGCTTTTTCTTTTTTATTCTGCTCCATTCCTCTTCCCCAAAGTTTTGTTTACTCGGGAATGCAGAAACTGTTGCTCGTGTTCTGCGCGACTGAGCAAGTGATATTGATGGCTTAGAACAAGGTGTGTGACTGACTGGTGATGCTGCTAAAATTCAGCGCATTTTCTACCCCTTGATACAATCAGGCAGAGATTAATCTCCTCCTTCAGAACACACTTTGCATTCAGCGTCCGAGGGATTGTCGCATTCCCCTTCATTTCTCACACACGTCCTGCTCATATCAGGCATACTGCACGTAAATACAGGGAGAGGGAGGTGGTTTTCTACAGATTCACACTTGCAGAGAAGCTTACGTACAGTATCAGGAGCTGTGACTAATAATGGATCCGGGTCATCCCTGTCACTTCTCATCCAGTCATGTCTGCTGCTCACTCCCCCTGCAGTGTGCCTAATATGTCTGAAAGTGCACACTCATCACAAACATAGGCCCGGATCTATTCCAGCTCATTGCTTCTTTCCCCCCTCTGAGGTGCCCGGGATTGCTGTTGGCTATATCCAGCGTAACTTGCATAAATCTGGAGCTACTTCCGTGCCATCATGGTATAATCCTAAATAATGTGCACAATCCATTTGCCCTTCACCGTCAAAGCCCCTTCAAGGACATCTAAACACTGGATGGGCCTCTAGCAATCGCTAGGCAGGCCTCCAGTTGGCTGCATTTAGACAATGGCTTCATCAGCCTCCAAGGGATGTGAAATATCGCCACAATGGGAAAGCTGCGTCCATCCAGTGTAATCCACAAGCAGTGAAATGAGCATGAAAGCAAGATTTTACCCAGAGATAGACTCATAGTCAGAGAGTGTGGTGACCCTGCACTACTCAGCCAATGATGAGGAGACTGTATTTGTATTTCTTTGCCTTGTTGCATTTTGCTGCATGAACTAGCCTAGAGCTGTAGTGGATGTGTTTGTCATAACGTGGCATTTAGAAAATGGGAGAAACTTTCTTGTATTCTCCTTACTAAGTTAAAGAAACAGCTATAATCTGAGATGAATGCTTCTGCTAGATCTTTGTCCCTTATTTTCTGTTTCCTCTTCCACCCTGTCTCTGCACTTATAACTTGCTGGTCTTTTCGTATTTTTTTCCCCTTTCCATCCTTTTCTATTCATTGTCATTATGATTATGTAGTCTTTCATGGTCTGTCATTCTCTCCTAGGTCTGTCTTGGGCCTAGACAAGGAGCCAGATCTGGTCCACATGGAGGCTCATACACCAGATGGAGGTGAGTGTCTCCTACACACACATACACATCAAAGAGGTGTAATGAACAGGAATGAATTCCTCCTGGACAAAAGAAGGTGTCTCTGGAGAAACAGCACTGGCTCACCTTACAAATGAACCCAGTGCATGATTCTGGATTAACATGGTCTTTCTTCTCTGTCCTTCACTCGCTGCATGTCAGCTCCGTACGTCAGTTTGGCAGTACCACCAAGGTCTTTCATAGGTGACAAAAATGAAATACTTTATGCCATGTCAGACTTGTGTCAGTCTGAGATAAAAGCATTGCTTTTTTCCCATAAACATAGTATGATTGAAAGGCGGATATGTCTGTTTGTCTTATCGACACAGAATTGGAGTAGATCTGGTGCTAGAAAGAGGCACAAATTAGTCAAAGAAAATGTTAGCATAGACGGGGGAGTAGAACCCTACGCAGTTCATGTAAGACTATGATACATAATTGTTTTGTTCTCAATTATCTACTTAATTGAGAACAAAACGTCAAAGATGCCCTTTATCGCTTTGTTAGAGATAAGGCATGGTTACAGCTCTATGAATGTTGTACTATAAGTATCATACTAAATTTAGTAGTCATAAACATCTCATGCTTTCTGTATGTCTTCCTATGTGACAGATGTGCAGTATGTCACATGCAGAGCTCAGATGTGCACAGAAGCTAACAGGAACTACCCGTTCCCTGGATACATCGACATCAGCTCTTTGGTGGTTCAAGATGACTACATATTCATACAGGTAGGGCTCTTAACAGTCAACCCCACATATTATTTTCTACATGATAGATTATGCTATGTAGACATTATCAACCCTGAGTAAAATGTATCTTATACATTGGGGAACCACTATAACTAAACTGTATATAAAGATAGAGGACAAGTCTTCCTCCCACTATACAAAAATGAAGCCAAAATATCCTGGATATGGATGCTGCCATCTTGCGCTGGTGAAGTCATTTAGAGCTGGAATATTGGATTTCAGCATATATGAATAGGGAATAAATCTTAATGGTTTATGTATTGATCTATATTTGTTTTTCTTCTTATAGCCTTAATCGTAATGTGTCTTGATTTTCTGAGTTGTGTTCAGCTACTTATGACCATTATGGTGTGTAAAGAAAATGTCATTGAAAACACAAGCTGCGACTAGCTTCAAGTAATTTTGGCTAATGTGTTAGCAAACGACAAAACGAAAACGAGACACAGAACATCACAAGCATCCGGTCGGATATGTTTCTGGCCAACTGAACAATGTCAGTCCAATATTTCAATCCACTATTCACTTATAACCTTCTATGATTTGCGCTGCTAGCTCTACAGAAAAAATATCTGGGCCATTCGCTTGCTAATGTACGGAGATGCTCAACGTGTTTAACAACCACAGGTGCCCGTTGAGTCTCTGCTGTTGTGTTTGTCAGGTGGATTGTTGTGAGCTTGCTTTCTGGAAGAGGAATGGATTTTTTTTCAGGTTGATGTGACCAGTGAGATTTAACATTAAACAATATGTCTTGAGTCATGAGCTAAAAGAAGCTAAAAGTGTCTACAAATTGCTTAAAGCTGAGGGTTGGGTTTTAATTTGTCAATAGGTTTTATTAAACAATAATATTAGATCATCTTGTTGCTTCTTTACTACTATTTTCAACTAATGCCACAAAATCACTGGGATACTATATGTTTTCTCTTAAACAGTTCTTACATAGATGATTGTGTTAGGCCCAGATCTTTTAACTTTCACCTCGACTGACCATTTGTGCTTTGTTTTTCTGTAAAGCCAGACTTGTTTTAATATTCATCCTAGCCACTGCGCTGTATGTCACATTAATCATGATTTGTGCGACAGAAAAATCTGAAATGGTAATGTCCTGAATTCCAAGTAACGAAGATGCAATTTATGGGTTGTATTTTAATTTCCTCTACAGCGTGAATATTATTTACTTTGACATGTGCAAATGAGGTTTCATACACACAAGTCTACGTAAAAAATCAGCATAATTACATGGGTAGTCTACAACAGCACCAATTTTATTAATTTACCTCCAACAACTGTTGTGGTGCTTTATAACTGTTTTTTTCAGCACCTGCATTTAGGGGAAAAAAGTATCTGGTTACATTTTCTGTTCACCTTTTGTAAATGTATCTTCTTCCAAAGGTAGTTATAAGACCAACGCACATTAGAGTATGCTGGCACCACCTCTAATAATCTTTGGATAAACTTCATTATTTCCAGAACCATCTGCTCCTAAACTTATACAACACTGTCTTGCTCCAGAGAGCAGATGACCCGAGTCCTCCAAAAACCTTCTCTGGCACTGGTACAACGAACTAGTAACCATCACTTTATAAAATCCTTCACAGACCATGAGTCAAACAGTCTGACATGAGCCTGTTCAAACCTTGTAGCCTAAACCTGAATCACTAAAATAAAATTCTGCCTTTAATTACTATTTTCAGTAGTAGCTATAGTAGTTGTAATGGTGTTCTTCCTGCTGTTTGATCCCGCTAAATGTTTTATTCAGTAGAGAACAGGTATTTTTATTACTTATCTGAGGCACCTACAGGCAAGTCCTTCCCCTGGAAGCTTCACTGGCCTTGGCTACACATTAGACAAAGAAATAGAGTTGTTCTCCAAAGATCCTTCAATCCTGTTTGACCTCTCCGAAACCTTTCAAGTAAACTCACAAGCACTCAGCCTAAACCTCCCCTTCAGTTCTCGCACCTCCACATTTTAACACGCATGCGTCACAGACGAAAGATCCTGAAAGGGATGGGGAAAAAAATCAATCATACCAATTCCTCTTAAAGTTCAAACCGCCTCTGGTTACCCTGCCATCGATCTCCTGCTCCTTCACTCGATTGCATGTGGGACTGTTACCGCAGTGCTCGCTGCCAGGCCGCTATATTTCCTCTCGGAGCTTGTTTTCTCTCTTTCAGAGCACTTACAAGATCAGTAAAAGAATCAGCCCTGTCATACAACATTAATAGTGATATTGCTTCTCTTCAGCAGAGAGCCACAGGTTTGATTTGAAGGTTTTCCTGTAATGAATTTCATGTCGTTACTGATAGGAGGGAAATGTTGGTTATGGAGCTGCAGTCTCACTTTGCTGTGTGTGTGTGTGTGTGTGTGTGTGTGTATGAAGTGCTTGGCATCGTGGCCTGGAGGCTAATGACAATTCTCCTACACCCACCAGCCCCGTGTTTTCTTGCTGCATAAGCTATCAACTAACAGCTTGGAGTGTTTGCAAAGGGTCTAGACCATTAAAGACGACATTTTTTTCCTTAGCCGGCAGATGAGGCTTGGTTAGGCCACTTAAAGATTTCTCTTGACAAAGAATAATGAGACTATTGATTGTCCTACGAGATATTTACCAAAGTCCACTTTGAAACCACCAAGTGCACTGACACCTAGAGAGGGCAGCGCCCTCTGAATGCAAGCCAGGAGAATGCTATAAATGGACACAAAAATAAATACATATGCTGTGTCTCCAGCAGAGCTTTTAAAACCTACAAGACAAAAAGAGAGGGAGAGTGCACTTTCACCCACCTCTTTAATTGATTGGACAAAATATGACATTGTGTCATTGATGAGGTTAGGTATAGCCTTTATAAAACGTGTATTTGTTCAGCAGCAGAGAGCCATCACTACAGAGCCCATGAGGAGACACGGACGTAAGCTCCATATAATAGTATGTATATGTTATTCAATATATGAAGTTAATTGTGCTTCATGTGTAGGTTCCTACATCAGGACGAGCTACCTATTATGTGTCCTACAAGAGAGACTCGTTTATACAAACCAAACTACCCAAATACTCCCTGCCCAAGGTAAGTTGCAGCAAATTCAGCCTCACAAGTATTTATGACTTTTTACTTTCTGACTCATAGAAATATATTTTTATTTCAGAATGTCAGAGAGTTAATTAATCAAAGCGTTTTAATTCGATGCTGTCACCACAGTGAAATTTATGTAGATTGGTTAAAAAACAGAATTAGGTCAAAGTGGTGTCACTCGCTCTTTTTTAGTTTGTTTTGCCATAAAAGCTGCAGTTCTTTTAAAGTGATAATTTTAGTATTGGTACCACACTCAAGAGTGAGCCTCCGAGTGAGCTACACCTTACAGTATGTCGTCAAACATTTATATTCACATCCCGGTATTGATCTCATGACCAGTCCCACAGGGTCAGCGTGTTCTAATCCGTCACCTCTCTGCCTCCAGTCATAACTCTTAATCTCTCCCTGCTCCCTGATAGGATTTACACATTGTCAGCACTGATGAGAAGCAGGTATTTGCGGCAGTGCAGGAGTGGAACCAGAATGACACCTATAACCTCTACCTGTCTGACACCAAAGGGATCTACTTCACCTTGGCCATGGAAAATGTCAAGACCACTAGGGGCATTGGAGGGAACCAGATGCTGGACCTGTACGAGGTAGGCACCTGATGAAATTATTCACCGTGGGGGTATAAATACAGCACGGTTTTCTATGATTGAATCTATGGGAAGTTACAGGGACTATTACTTTTTCACTACTTCTTATGATCTGCCATAAAGTACAGGCCCATGAACACGCCAACAAACAGTGGCATTTTTTTTATTTTTTTTTTTATTTTTTTTTTAAAGCTTGTGGTTAAATTCAGATTTCATGTCCCATTGCTCAAAATAACCATACAGTATCTGAGAAGGGTACATCAATAGGGTTGTTAATCGATACCAATGACCCAAACAATTGTTTTGCTGCTGCTTAATTTTCTGGCTTCTAAACCCCTGCAGTATATTCTTCCTTGGAACAAATACTACTACCTCTTATTTTAAAGATGCACATCTGATCACAGTGTTAACAAAAAGGTTCACCTGTCAACCAAAAATTCAAACACAGGATTGTGTTAATTAACAGGTCTTTTAAGGGGGGTTGAATACATCAAGATTAGTTTTCTAGTCATGGGTAACACTCATTGTACTGGTACTAGCCTGTGAAAACAGTTGTAACCCCTGAAAAGAAGAAAACAAAAAGAACAAAAGACAATGTCAAGTTGCACCGAGTTGGACACAAAGATCTAGAAGTCAGGATATCTTGGCCTTGGACTTATTTATAGAATGCTTAATTTTTGGAATACTCCTTTATTTCTGAGACTAATACTAGGCAGGAGCTGTGTATATATGTGTATATATATTCAATTAAATTTTATTTATATAGCGCCAAATCACAACAACAGTTATCTCACAGTGCTTTTCATAAAAGAGCAGGTCTAGACTGTACTCTATGATGCTATTTACAGAAGCCCAACAATTCCCACCAAGAGCAAGCACTAGGCGACAGAGGCAAGGAAAAACTTTCAGCTAACTGATGAGTTTCATCTGGCTTGATCAATATATATAACTGAGTATCATCTGCATAACAATGAAAGTTTATGGAATATTTCCTGATAATATTGCCCAAGGGAAGCATATATAACGTGAAGAGGATTGGTTCGAGGACAGATCCTTGAGGAACTCCATGACTAACTTTGGCGTGCATGGAGGACTCATCGTTAACATGTACAAACTGAAATTGATCTGATAAATACGACTTAAACCAGCTTAGAGCGGTTCCTTTAATGCCAATGAAATATTCTAGTCTCTGCAATAGGATCTGATGGTCAATGGTATCAAATACAGCACTAAGATCTAATAAAACCAGTACAGAGACAAGTCCTTTGTCTGATGCAATAAGGAGGTCTTTAGTAATTTTCACCAGTGCTGTCTCTGTGCTATGATGAGCTCTAAATCCTGACTGAAAATCCTCAAATAAACTATTGCTCTGTAGAAAGTCACACAGCTGTTTAGCAAATGCTTTCTCCAGGACCTTAGAGAGAAATGAAAGGTTAGATATAGGTCTATAGTTGGCTAAAACATCCGGATCAAGGTTGGGCTTTTTCAGAAGAGGTTTAATTACAGCTACTTTAAAGTACTGTGGTACATAGCCTGTTGATAAAGATAGATTGATCATATCTAGTATAGAAGTGCTGACTAAGGGTAAAACTTATTTAAGCAGCCTAGTCAGGATGGGGTCTAAGAGGCAGGTTGATGGTTTAGATGAAGAAATTATTGAAGTTAGTAGCTAAAGATTGAGGGAAGCAAAGCAGTCTAAACATATATCTGGTTCTACAGCTGTTTCTAAGGTTCCTGAGTTAAGAGATAAGTTGGTGCCAGTTGAGGGCAGGTCTTGGTGAATTATTTTCTAATAGTTAGAATTTTATCATTAAAGAAGCTCATGAAGTCGTAACTACTGAGAGCTATGGGAATACTTGGCTCAATAGAGCTGTGACTCTCTGTCAGCCTGGCTACAGTGCTGAAAAGAAACCTGGGGTTGTTCCTATTTTCCTCTATTAATGACGAGTAGTACGCTGCTCTGGCAAGTTTTAAGACTATCTTGCCAAATTCAGCGAGAATTTTCCAGTTTGGTGGAACGCCAATTCCTCTGAAGTTTCCTCGATATTTGCTTTAATTTGTGAGTTTCAGTATTATACCATGCAGCTAACCATCTTTGTTTTATTATTTTCTTTTTTAGAGGGGCTACAGAGTCGAGTGTCATTCGCAGCGAGCCTGCAGCACTATCAACAAGTTGATCGACTTGGGAGGGACTGAAACTAGCATAGGAGTCCTCTGTTACTTTGTGACTTGATAATGAATTTATAGCTGATGGAATCGCATCCTTAAATTTAGCTACAGCACTATCAGACAGACATCTTGTATAGAAATTTTTGCCCAATGGCGTGTAGTTCAGCAATACAAACTCAAAAGTTATCAAACAGTGGTCAGATAAAGAGGGATTCTGTGGGAACACCACTAAATATTCAATTTCAATACCATACACCAGAACAAGGTCGAGGGTGTGGTTAAAACAGTGAGTCGGTTCATGAACACTCTGAGAGAAGCCAATGGAATCTAACAGAGAGATAAACGCAGTACTGAAGCTGTCATTCTCAACGTCCACATGAATATTAAAATCCCCTACAATAATAACTTTGTCCGTTTTAAGGACTAAAGTTGACAAACTCTGCAAATTCAGTACGGACCAGGTGCTCAGTACACTATAACAAAAATAATTGGTTGCAGTGATTCCCAACTTGTGTGTGAAAGACTAAGAACAAGGCTTTCAAATGAGTTATAATTTAGTTTAGGTTTAGAGCTGATCAGTAGGCTAGTCGAAGATAGCTGCAACTCACTCACTTCCTCCTCGGCCCGTGCCTTGAGGAATGTGAGTATTAATATGACTGGGAGGGGTGGATTCATTTAGGCTAACATATTCTCCATCACCCAGCCTGGTTTCAATAAGACAAAATAAATCAATATCATAATCTGATATTAGTTCATTTACTAGTACACCTTTAGAAGAGAGAAATCTGATGTTTAAGAGTCCACCTTTGATTTTCCTATTGTTTTGCACTATTATATATATATATATATATATATATATATATATATTAGGTCATACTACTTAATTTGATTATAAATGCTTTTTTTTATAATTAAGAACATATTTTAATGTATATGATGTTGTGCTCTGGTATGCATTACATGACGTCAGAGAAAAACCTTCAATGACTCATTTAGTTCGTATTTACCTACAATGTGGTTGGAATCAGTCATTGTTATTACATGTATGTAAGATTATAAAATAACACAATGTGACCACCCCTATGATGGTCTATGTTAATATAATTTAAAGGTTTACTGGTACACCGCTGCTGCTGCTGATAGTTAAGTTTATAAAAGTTATGAACCACACTATTAACCACACTGTTTTTTGACCTAACCGCAACAAGCTGTATACATATTGACATAATATTGTCTTGTTCACAAACAATTGTCTATTTATATTTTCAGCAGACACGGCACTATAAGCAATATTAACATTCATTTGGAGCCACCTGATGAATTTACCTCTGTTTTGGTCTCCTCCAACTATTTCCAGAGGGAAATATCTGCTAAGCCTATTAAGTGGTCCACTATGTAGGTGTGGGTACTAACTCAATACAAGTAACACAAATGAGTAAGTAAAGTGAGTATAGTATTATTTTTTTTTGGAATGGTAACTTTTCACATTCCTGTTTACTGTTTTTTGGACCAATAATCTACTTTGCTACATTTACCATTTATACATTTATACCTTCTGTGACGGAGGGGCAAGAGCAGTCACCCCACCCGGATTCAATTCACCTGGGTCTACAGGGTACCAAAGTATATGTAACATGTAACTTGACCGCACCGCCAAAGAGCCAGGCTCGTTGGTATGGCAGTCACAGTGCATACTCAACCGTAGTGAGTATTTTACAACCCCCTTGTAATATGACACACAAATTTACCTTGTACCTTGTTACACAGGGGAGCTTTAACCGGTGCACTAGTACCAGATATTAATGAACTGGGCAGATGCAAACATTCAAAAAATCTGTCAGAAAACCTTTTCAATTTCAGGTTTGGTTGTTCTACTATTGTAACTCAGATACAGTAACTATGCCACTGGTGGCAGTGTTGGAAAGCAGCCTGCATCGCCCTTTCACAAGCCAGCAAAAATACTTCCACTTTCCTTTAATGGCGTATTAAAATCATATTTGGTCTTTTCAGAACAAATGTAGACTACACACTTTAACAAGTAAGTCAGATGATTACTGGTTTGACTCTGTTATATTAACATAACACAACAAATGGTATGGTTGGCTATGTCCATGTCAAGATAACAACAGAGACAGGCAACAATAGTATGCTAGACAGAGACATGAGACTTGGCTTGGATTTGCAGAAAATGAATTGATCATTAAAACACAAAGTTACTTGTACTTTGAGTAGTTCACTTGAGTTTTTTTTATGTGAGTAATTGTACTTTTACTTGAGTAAATAAATGTTCAGTACTCTAATGTTGTCTGCCTTTTGGTGCTGGACAGGTAGTGTGCAGTTGGTTTAACAGAGCTTCTTTGCTTTAAATGGCTGCCTGCTGCAGTTGGAGATGTGGTTGATAAAAGTGATGAGACTGAACAGTGTTGGCTCTAAAACCAAAACAATGAGCTCAATGACACTAAAACGCTCTCTTGAGCTGAGGGGAAATGCTGAGTGGAAAGATTTTTCGTTTACATTGAAATGTCTCACCTCAGTTAGTAACTGCAGTTCTGCAGTTTAGATTGTTAGCTTTTTATACAGATACACAGTGGTGCTGTAGAGTTTGTGTAACAGTTACTTGTCTGGATAATGCATAGGTTTGCATTACAGGCTGTGTTCGTCCATCTTCCTGACAGCAGACATATGCAGTATGAAGAGCATGTGTAATGGGGCTCACTGCCATGCACCTCTGGACTTATAATGACCTTGTTAGCTTACTGGCTAGCAACTGTATGTGTTTGCATTAGCATTCATGGCAGGGAAGTAGAATTCCCTCCTTCTCCACTCTCTGGTGAACTCATTTTATCACTCCTACACTGGCAGGTGTGACTGAGACAGTGAAGAAAGTGAGATATTGGCCAGCAGCGGTGGCAGCGGTGTGGTAATTAACAATGCCATTACTTCTCCTGCACAGTATGTGGTGTGTGTATATGTGTGTGTGTGTGTGTGTGTGTGTGTGTGTGAGGCTCTGAGTGTGTGCGCAGCTCCTATTACCAGGCAGCTGTAGTTAAGGCATTTCACCATGCAGCATGAGATAATAAGGCATTTTAATTACATTTGTTGCACGGTCACAGCTCCATTCTTGATCAGAACCTAAACAAGAGATAGATGATACACTGCTGTCTCTGATAAATCAGACCCATTACACAGGGAGAGATATATACTGTGGAACTCATCCATTTATTGCTGTTAGTCCCTGACAAACTGCACTTCACAGACCTAATGTTCCAGAGAGAACAAGCAGCTCCAGTCAGACCAGAGGGGAGACAACAAAGTATATGAAAGTTGTTTTGTTCTTCCACTTAGAAGCCACGTCTCTTCCCAAAGGGCTTCTGTTCTCTTTGCATCCTCCTCCCAGAAATCAATTATGCTATTTCCACAGCGAAAATTGCACAATTATCTTCTAAATTAGCAGGATTATTTCATTGTCAATCAGACTGGATAAGGGCAATTTCTATAATCATGGGCCTTTGTTGTGCAAACTAATTTTTTGTTGACATCAGGGCTCTACATCACCTGCTAAACTTCCATTCAATGTAAGAGGAGGTTTAGCAGGTGGCTCTCTGACAATTATCACTCTGATTGGCTTGGATTCACAGTATCAAATATAATTTATCTTTCTCTCGCCTCGTTATAAACAGCTCTGAATGAGTAATTGAAGATTGAAGTGGATTGTTGTCAGTGGAGTGTATTAGATGATCTGGATGATTCTGAGTCATGTGGCCCTTCATGCTTGTGTTTTTTTTTTTTTTGGGCGCTTAAACCCACAAGTCTCTGATTCAACAAATGAGCCATATAATAAATTGCTTCACGTTAAATAATTGGCAATTCCCTGCTGTTCAATAAAGATGCTCCATGTTCACAGTGTTTTCAGATTGGCAGCCATGTTTTAATCTATTTTTCAAGTTAGCAACGCTTAGCAACAACAAATATGCAATGTCTGGTAAAGTTAGAAACAATAAGTATGCAACATCTGTTTTGACTCAAAATAAACGCTAGCATTTCAAAACATCGGCATTTTGAAACGGCACGTTATTAAAGTTTTAAAACGTTGCAATTTGATTATGTTTAGGCAACAAAACTACTTGGTTAAGGTTAGGAAAAGATCATGTTTTGGGTTAAAATAACTACCTTGGTCATTTAACACGTAAGTTAAATAACGTCACTTGCATTACTTCAATTTACGTCAATTTACGTAACTTAACCATTAAAAAATATTTGATGTTGACTTTCTGTTTCACACTGGACACAAACCCGGATCTCGTGGTTCAAAGTCTGGGTTCTAGCCCTCCATTCACCCTAAACACCTCCTTATTCTGTGTTGAACTATGACACCAGAGGGATCCCCAGTGCGTTACAAACTGACGCCGATGGGTCTTGACCACGCGGGTTGTCAGTTAAGAGTGATGCAAGGAGTACATTCAAATGGTGATGGAAAGGTTGAGTTGTTAATTGTAGATTTTTATATATAGGTTAAGGGATAACATTCTGCAAAATTAAATTTTACCTTGGCTTTCATTCTGTAGAATACAATATATATTTAAAAATATATTTAAAGCTGCAGCAATTAACATCTCTAATATCAACAATGGATCAAATTACTTTGTGTCATTTAAATGGGGTCACTTGTGGTGACTAATCCGTAGAGAATAATAACCCAACTCTGTAGTTCCCCGAGCTCAACAAACCTTTTTAGCCTGTTTAACTTCATTTACCTCATTTTTTTGTTTGACATATTGCAAACTCTGGTCATTTAGATCATTTATCAAACAAAACTACCAAACATAAGCTGGTTCCAGCTTTGTTTGTTTTATGTCATTAAAAATTGATCATATGCAGTATGTGCCCCCATTGGTGCTCTGTTTCAACATTTACATTTATTCATTTTGCAGACTTACATTTGCTATATATGTCAGAGGCCACACGCTTCTAGAGCAACTGTCTTGCTCAGGGACACATTGGTGTCTCACAGCGGATTTGAACCCGGGTCTCTCACCAAAGGCATGTGTCATATCCACTGCCCCATCACCACCCCTAGTTTCAAAGAAGAAAGAATATGCTTAGAGTAGGATCTGGCATAAAACATCAACTTCCGAGCACTAAAGTAGATGGTTAAGAATGAAAAGTATTTTATAAATAAGGGCTAATGCATTATACAATACACCCCAATGCATGTCGGCACACTTGCCTTCCTCTGGACATCTTGACACACAGTGAAAGAAGACTTATAATCTGTCTAATTCCACAGACCTGTCTAAAGCTGAAACCAAGAAATGCAAAGCCATTTTGTAGAAAACTGTTGATTCTGTAGATCAGTTGAATTAAAAATAACCATTACATGCAGCCCTATTATAAAGTACAATAAATGTACAGGGATTTGTTTTAGGATCCCTGTTTCTCAGATCCAGTTAATTGAATTTATATTGGTGCTTTGGTATGAGATGATGCAATAAACTGCAACAGTTTCATTAAATTTTATATATGAGTAGTCCTATATGAGGTATATTTAGATTTGTCTGAAATGCAAAAAAGGGCCATGCACAGAGCTTCCATGTGCAGTAAATGCTGACCAATCAAGTCACCCCCTTCTGTGTTATTTAAGAATTCCCTATTGTATGATAAGAGGACGAAGTCAACAGAGTCCAATGCTGAATATAGTCTCAGCAAACAGAGATGTTTGTTTAGAGAGAATGGTGGTAGATCTGAGAGAAGGCCAGAGGTGTTGTGCAATGTCCTCTGCATGGTATTGATATGCTAGCACAGATTATTAAAACTACCTGGGTGTTTGATCACATGCTGTAACACAACCTTCATGCTTTAATCTCTTTTTCATGTGTACTCACTTGGCATTCAGCAAATAGCCAACACAGCTTTTAATCTTCACTGCACAAATAATTTCCTGAAATGTCAGAGTATTCCTTCAAAGGTAGGGCATCCGATTCTGCAGAAATCCAACACCGTGACAAATGAAAGGCTACAGAGCGAAAAACGACACAGCAAGTAATAAAGCTAACTTTGGCTAAGTTGTGCGTGAAGCTAACACGCAGAGAGGACGAGACGGGCACAGAGCCGGCACAGCTGCCCCAGACGGCGACACTCACAACTCTTCTGCCGCTATAGCTAACATCACAACAACAGCATGTCTTGGTGAACGAGAAAGCTGTGTACAGGGCTGTGTACAAACACCACATTTCTTTCCAGCGCACACACAGAATGGAATCGCATACCCCACCATTAATGCTGCACTGCCAAGAGTAATCTGTGCTGTAGAATAGATCTACGTCTGTGTTCTTCCCTTTCGTTGTCAAGAAAGTACCGTGTGGGTGGTGTGAGTGATGGACAGACAGAAATGTGCTGGTGGGGACTTGTCGTTCTCCTTGCATGCGTGTGTGTTTGTGCATGCACGTTTGATAGAGGAGGTGGAGGCAATAAATAATTACTGCAGTGATTGACAGGTTGGGTTGGATAACGACAGGAGGACCCTTGTTTGCTGCATCCATCCCGAGCGCCAAGTTTCTATGACAATGTCAGATGCGCTGCCTATTAGTGCCACTTATACAGACGTGCCCCTTCAGGGAGGGAAACACATCCAACTGGTGCCCCTCACTATGGCAACCATTTGGAGTGACTGTGTCCTTCCCATTGCACATCACACTTTGGTTGAGGAATATGTCTAATCCCTGAGAGACAGCTAGCAGGGAGGATTTTGGATGTGTGTGTCTCTATACGTGTGTTTTCATGGAGGTGTGTGTGTGTGCGCGCTTGGGGAGATACAGACAGACTGTGAGAAAACAGACAACGTGTCACTTCTCAACAGTCATCATTTTGTACTGTCTGGATTGCTGAGATCCGTAAGGATATAATTACAGCTAGCACTTAGCACAGTATAAGAAAATGCAGCCGCTCTACCGATGGTGTCTACCAGACTGTCAGCCTCAGCATGAAAGGACAAGCACACCATTTGCATTTAACTGAGCTTGTGTGGTGCGGATTGCTGTTTCAATACACAGAATGCCCCTTCTGATGAAAGTGCTGGGTATGCTTTGTCATCTGCAAATGAGAACTAAACTGTTATGGGAGAGAAAAATCTAAAATGCTGCCTTCTGATTTGCGTTAAGACAGATTAGATAAAGATTAGATTCAACCTGTCATGTTTCTGTGTCCATCAGGTGGCAGGAATTAAAGGCATGCTGATTGCTAACAAGAGGCAAGACAACCAGGTCAAGACTTACATCACCTACAATAAAGGCCGGGACTGGAGGCTCCTGCAGGCTCCTGCTACTGACCTGGATGGAAATGACATTCACTGCATACTGGTAAGATACTGCAAATGCACTGTAGCTCAAAAGCCTTTTCTGCTTATGTTTAAAAAGATATGTAAATATAAAATGAGAAATTGTATGAAGCAAAATAAAACTCTAGGGGAGGAACTACTGGGGAGCCAGGGGGATCTTAGCTCCCCTAAATTAGACATCAGCTCCCCTAAAAGCATGATTTTTGATATTTGTGATAATATTGACAGCATGGTCTATTGCCATCATCACGGATCCATGCCTAAATTCAGGAATGTCAGACTTCATCTAGCCAGAGGGAACGATCACCGACCGTCCACAGCGGGCCTGTCGCTCGGCGATCTCCTGTCCCTGGTCCGCCCCACTCCGTCTCCGGTACGGGTTGTGTTGCTAGTATAACCGACGCGTTGTGAGCAGTTCGTGATTGTTCCGTCTGGCTGGATGAATATTATGCATGATCCATGCACTGCTGCAGCTGGGGGCTCTCCGCAGCGCCATGCAACTTTTCAAAATTCTTCCCCCTCATGTAGAAAAGAACATGAGGGCTACATATGATGATAATAATATTAATTATATTTCTATTATTATAATAATAATAAGACCGACAAACACGCCTGATACTTTCACAGTTAGCCTAGGCCTACATGCTTGCAGAAAGTGGGGGGGTGGGGGTGCAGTCGATATTGACTAGCAGCTGTCGTGATAACCGCAAAATTTAAATACCGCGCTATTGGTCATGCCTATAGTGGAGGATGGCAAGCACCGCAATGTTCATACTTTACACTTAAGTGCGTGTTAAATGAATAAATTAGAGCTTCAAAAGTTCCATAACCGTAACAAGCTCTGTAACGGTTTAAGGACAGACCACTTTGGGCTGTACCTGACTTGACTTCAAACTTCGAAGCTGTTTATTTAGCCGTGTTGTTTTACAGTTTATTTTTATTTTCATTTTCATCAGAGTGTGGACTGGTAGCTGGAGATGTCCAGTTCACCTCCAGGGCACCACCAACAAAGGAGGCTTTGAGAAAGCCCCTTAACCCCTAACTGTTCGGGGCGCTGCACTGAGTGGCAAACCCCTCACTCTGATATCTCTCTGATGCTATGGGTCCATGTGTGTGTATTTTGGACCTGTGTGTAAATACTAACAATGTAAAAAGGGCCAGCAACACATCGAACCTTCCACCCACTATCCCCAAGTGGTACTTTCCACCCCCCTCTTAGAATGGTACAGTATGTTCAATCTGCCCAGTGCAGTTAACAAGATCATGGAGAGATCTGAGTTCCAATTAAGTTACAAAAGAATGTTAATGCCTTTGTTTCCCACTGTTGTGTGCGTCCGTTGAACTGTAAGTACTTGAAGTCTCATATTATTATAGTTTGGGTATACTCTTCCCATTTTCTTGGCTAAATCTTGCTCTAGCTCATTTTGGCTACTGTTAATCATGTCAATTAGGCCAATTTACCAGAAAGTGAGTATCTACAGTGCTAGTTCCATATGTGTAGAGCCTGTGCTTAATGTAATTACATTCAATGCACCCTTTTTTATTATTAATAGCTGCCTAGCTGCCAACTGTTCTGTAGTGGGATAATTTACTGTGTAAAAGGTGTTTAGCTGGCACAACAGTGGTCTGTTATATAGTATAGCGGTGTTTGTTATAATGACTGGTTTAATGGGTTGTAATATGTTGCTCCTCATTTCAGAACCACACACACATCTACCACAATTTGTCAATAAAGCAGTCTTAACTGGAAATTCTGGACTATTGTGTGATTTGACTCGTCACTTCAGTAGTGGGTGGTGATTTCCTGAACCCAAGTATTGTGAGAAGCCACCGTCAGCTCATCTCTATCTTTCAAACAGTAATAACAGTGAAAACATTGAATTGCGGCATTAGTGTATTTTCTTCTTCTACATGCTTGCTAATAACTTTTGAATGTTTGATTATGAATGTTCATCAGTGTTGTGTTGAGAACAACTTATCAGAGTTAACTTGAATGCATTACTTTTGGACAAATGATTGATCATGATAATAACCACTCAGCTCTGGATTGATTCAGGAGAAAATCCGATCATGTTTTGATTCACACTGTGTCTAAAATATAGGGGCTATTCAATTCAATTCAAATTAGCTTTATTGGCATGAATGTATAACAACAATATTGCCAAAGCATCATGCTATTCACAGGCGCTTTGTCAATGTGTTTTTGAGAGAGACAGGGAGCAAGCAAGCAAGCAGAGGAGCTGAGGGAATCTATGCTCTGTGAGCAGATCTATACTGAATTACGATTTTACACATTTTAAATAATAATAAATAGAAAATCACTGTGTGGCGGTCAGTTTTAATATTATGGCGGGCTGACCAATAAATCAATGTATGGGAAACACTGTTGACTTGCAGATTTGGCTAGCCCCCGCAGTTCCAGGTGCAGCGGTTCCAGACCCACAGTTTTAGATGTACACATGCGCGAGTCGCTGTACTGGCCATCTGACATGCCAGGGGAAATCCCAGTGGGCCGACTTCACTAGTTGAGTGGTTGGTAAAAATCCCTTGTTCACACACCGTCCCCTCATTTCGCTTTTGGTCTAAAAGCAACATTACACAGGTACACTTATTCACTCCTGGAGGCTGCCATATAAAAGCACAATCTGATCTGCTGCTGAGGATTAAGGATCTTGCTCAAGGGTACATCAGTGATAGAAATGAGGATGGGACAAATGCTGCTCTTTTATTTTCCCCACCCAGACCTACTCTGCCATTGAGAATTCAAACATGCAAGTCACATGCCCATTTCTCTTTAGTTCACCTTCTGGAAAAGAGCTGCAGTGCATCTGGGCAAAAACCCAATTGGTTAACAACAGCCTTGTACATGGGGAGCACACTCTACCAACTGAGCTAACCACGGCCTGAAGTGTTTAGAAAATGGTACTGAATTAGCAATGCAACAATCCACCTTTACCTCTTCTATTACTTCAGAGGAGAACAAGACTGAGGCAATTAATATAGGTTTTTCTGAATGATAAACACTGTGGAAATTACAAATTGTGTTTTAAAAATTAGGCAGAATGCGGTGCTGCACTGGCAGATCCAGATCTATTGCATGGGTTGACAGTGTTTCATTCCTCATTAGACAGCCTCCCTGCAACTTAACCTAACAGGATGACTGTTAGGAGGAATCATGTTTGAGGCATTAGGAGGACTTCATGCTGTTTAAGAGGTGACTCCAGGGCATGTGGTATGGCTTACAAGTTCCCTGTGATTGCACATTCATGTGACATTTTAATTACTGCCGTAGATTCCTTTTGATTACCCTGTTCAGTCCCACTGCTCTTGATGTCCTTACACCAGTGACATGCTGTCTGCTGCAGAGACAAAAGCAGACACTTTTTTTTCTGCTCTGTGAGCAACTGTAATTGTCTTCTGTTGTGTGCATGCCCTGGAGACTTTGCTTCATACTTTATTCAAATTCCATTGCTCTTTGTATTAATGACAGATTAAATGCAATTAGCAAAACTTATGAAGGCACAGTTGGTTCTTTTTGGGAAACTAATGAATCTGGCTTGTTTTTTTTGTTGTTGATGGTTTTGTTTGTGTTCTACAATTTGGCTCTGACCCTGTAATTTTCTTAATCATAGGGTAAGCGTAGAATTAATTTGTCATATATAATGTAAATATGATCCAGTATACTGTAACACATCACCACTTAGACAAAGTGATGTGTTCTCTTGCAAAAAACTTAACACGTTCATTCTTATTCTGCAGCCTTTCTGTTCACTCCATCTCCAACTGCAAATGTCAGAGAACCCATACTTGTCAGGAACAATCTCGACTAAGAGCTCTGCACCAGGGATCATAGTTGCCACAGGTAAGAGAAAAAACTTTAAATTGTAGGATGATAGTAACATGTTTCTACTATAGCAACTTCTTTTAATGCCCACGCTTTCTACTTTGAAGTAAAAATTCAAAAGGTATTTTGTTTGAAGAGTTATACTGTGATCCTTCCAGTCATCTACAAGACTAGTTAGTGCAGCACCAATGTGACCCCTCCATGCCCTCACACGTAAGCGTCAGTCTTTCACACTGGACACAGCGCACTGCAGGATCTCAACTTGCTTCCACAGGCAAACATGTTGCAGATCCCATGTCCACCTGCTTTGATGACAAAACAGCCAATTATGTTCAGCATGTGTGAGAAAAGGCGACAGTTTGTGTTGTGCAGTGGCTGTGAGCCTGCAAGTGTAAGAGCATTTGAGAGAGTTGAAGCACAGAAAGAGTGATGAGTTAAGACAAAATAGATGTGTTAGCACCAGTGGTGGTGTCAGCAAAAAAAGTCTGCCTTTTGCTGTGAGTGTGTGTGTGTGTGTGTGTGTGTGTGTGTGTGTGTGTTTGTCTTTGGATCTGTCTGTTTTGTTTTTTGTGTGAGAGAATGCTGAATAAACATACATCTCTGCTGCCATGCTTGCACTGTGTGTGTGTGTGTGTGTGTGTGTGTGTGTGTGTGTGTGTATTGCTGGCCAAGCCTTTGCTTTGGCACCGTGATTCACTTTGCCCGCTGCGCCTTTTAAGACATCAGCTGGTGCGGAGATCATCTCACCAACATGACAAACACCATCCAGATCAAACACATGCCTATTTACTGAGCTGTGGCCAAGATAGTAGACGCTAGTTTACTTGCTTCACAGGAAACCGCTATGGAGGCACTGTGTTGTAATGCTGCAAATTGCCAAAGCAAAAGAGGCACCCGCCCCCTTCAACACTTCTCACAGAACGTCGTCTGAATGATTCGGGTGTCAATAGGAATTACCATAGGGTCTTCACATGAATCAAAAACAGCAAGCTGATCTGGGAGCCAAGCTAGAGGAATAAATTAATCACAGAAGTGGTGTGATTGGCAGTATGTATTTTAAACACATATGGCCCTTTATCTGTGTGATGTGGCAGTTTCGTTGTGTCTTTTTCTGTTGGCATTTCCACCGCAGGAAACATTGGAGCAGAGCTGTCTTATAACAACGTTGGCATGTTCACATCATCTGATGCTGGCAATAGCTGGAGACAGGTGAGCTTCACACCAAAATTCATAACAGCTATGGCTTTCCAGATGCATATTGTATTAGGGTGTCTTGTTATACAACCCAATTGATACTTTGCCCCACTCTCCCCTTAGTTACTATTGCTACACCTGTCAAGCTTTCCACTCCAGCAAGGCCCATGCAGTTTACAATAGGCCTTTTCATGTAATATTTTTGACATGTCACAGTAGGAGAAACACAGGTTTAAAAAATACAGTTAATAAAAGCTGAATTCCATTTAGCTGCTTCAGTTTTAGGGTCCTAGTGATGTGCATGCTGGCTCACTGTCACACTGTTATGTGTGTTCCACTTACTGGGACTATGACAAATCAAAATTTATGCTGTGAAAAAAGCCATCATGACAGGATCAGATTTACAACTTGAAATTCATAGTAATTTGAGAAACAACGGGTCCTTGATATTAGACAGGCATCTTTTCCTAACTGAATTGACTGCCATTGCTAGCAGATTTAATTAGCTCTAGTGAGTTAATAACAAGAACTATTAGAGCTAAAAACAACTAGCGTCTCTGGCTGAAACTCTGGCTAAAAACCAGAACCTTGTAAAAGTGTGTTGAATATGTACTTAATACGTCATATTGTGCTAAAGGATTAAGGCTAATGCCTAAGTCAGTATCCTTATCGGTTAATGATCCATGAGGAAGACATGTAAATGAAGCTGAAGCATTATTTTTGTATTCCATTGTAAAGCTATTTAGCCCTAATACTATAGTACATTATGAAAAGGAAAAATGTCAGAAAATAATAATATTTCATTATTCTAATGCCTACTACAGATAAACATACTTAGACAAGCTACACAGTGGTTAGATTTATGCCTTATTGTTTGTTACGTTAATTTAAAACATTTTATTTCACTTTTTACTAAAAGGCTTTGAGTATGTGGATTAACAATGGGTTTGGCATTTGTTGCGAATCTCGGGTAACAAGTAGGGCTGGAATTGCTGGACTTTTTTACATCCAATAAAGAGCAGGACTGAACCACTGATGTTAGCCTAAATTCTGCGTAGCATCCAGGACGTGTTTCCAAATGATGTGTGAATATTACACAGTTTATATGTGCTACTGAATTTAAATGTAACAGAATAAGAAACCCTTATATAAATATTGTAGATAGCTAAGGATAGTCTACCTCTTGGTCTTGAAGGAATGCTAGCTTTACTATTTTGGGAAATAAGCTAACATTTAATCCATTCATAATAATGTACAATAATTATATAATCTTCGGTTTTTGGTTATTAACCACGCTGAGAAATGTTTATAGTTTATAGTAAGATATTATTGGTGGGTTTCAGTGAATCATTTCATTGTTTGTTGAAAATAATATTTTGCCAGGTTGCATACCTCAATATTATAAGGATGGATTTCTGCATGTCTGTTTACAGATTTTTGAAGAGGAGCACAATGTGTGGTTTCTGGACAAAGGCGGGGCCCTTGTCGCTGTGAAACAGCCATCTGTGCCAACCAGGCACTTGTGGTACGTCCACTTTTTTGGACACTATTCCTTTCTGAAATTGACCCTTCGCTAAGCCACGCCCCGAATACACAGCTGGCCAATCACAGCGCAGTATAGGTCTCGCTCTAATTGAGGTCCGATACTTTCATGGCTGCGCTCCATTGACTCTAATGTAAAAAGAGTCGTTTTCTTGCTTTTTTTGCTGTATTTTTCCAAGATATGGTCAAAGCTGGGGCCCTTACAGTCGCTACCCAGAGAGGTTGATAGCAGAAGTACGATTTATTCTCTTTCCAAAACCTAAAATAAATCCAGAAAAATGGCGGCTCTGGGTTGTTCCTAATGGGATGTTAGTTAGGTAACGCTAGCTAACGTCTTACTGAATGTAACATAATAAAGCCCAACTGTTCTGCTTTTTAATAACTGTAATAATGAACAGAGGCCTACCCAGCTTTACAGGTACAGTGTTGATCCTTAATATCGTTGTCTTTTGTTTTTTGAGTCAGTTTGACAGCCTGAATACAACCTTCAAATGTATAATGCAATTGCAAAACTGTCTGCTTCTTTCTGAGATCGTGCAGTAATAGACAGCGGCAGCACAGGCAGTTTGTCAGACTTAGCAACAATAACTACGGGGGGCGCGGCTTAGCGAAGGGTCAATTGCATTTCCAATTTCCTACAGCTATTTTTAGGTTAATTCAACCCGTATGGTACAAAAAAAATAAGCATGTATATATTATATGTGACACTTGATCCATTTAGCGATGCACTTTGACTGTGGAAAAAAAGTGATAGGCAATCTAATTTGAGAGGTTTTTTTTCAAGCCACTTATCATTAACAGCCAGCCGCCTGAGCTCCCCCTTTTTAGTGTTTTCATTAACACATTACCTTCCTTTTGCCAAATCGGATGCCTACGCTGTGCCTCAGTGCAGGCTAATTCAAGTGAGAACAGATCTGTTCTACAGTCGCTTTTGCAACAATTCTGAAATTAGTTTTAGAGCCAGTGAAGCGTAGCCTGCTGGGTTTTTGTCTCTCAACCAATTTAAGTGCAATAGTAGAGGAAGTGGGGGGGAAACTGACAGATAGAAAGAAGCCTGTGTATGTCCACAGCCACTATACAGCAGCTAAACAGTATTGCTTTCTCAGCCAGTGTTCAGTTAAACGCTTCCTCTGCCTGACTCTGATAATAGGTGCATATCAACAGTCCTTTTCTGTTGTCAGTGCTTTTAACCAAATGAAGGCAGCTTGTGTGTGTGTGGGGGGGGGGGGGGGGTCTTTCACAGGCCTCAGTAGTGTTTCAACCCATGTCACACCCAGATACTCCTAGTTGTTCTCACTTCAGCACCGATGTTGATAAACTGTCAGAATCAATACAGCCCCAGCCCCGATGATGAAAGCCGTCCAATGCTTTTTTTTTTTTTACTGTCTCATTCTCCCTCTGCAGTTTTGTAGTTGAACATGAAACAGTTCTATTCTGGTCTTGTTTTTTTCACCCCTGTGTAGACTTTACCCAGGACGCGTGACGTCGCTCTTTTTCTTTTTGACATGTGCTCTGAAAGCAGTTTTGTGAATCTTTGCTTTCATAACCAGACAGACTGTCTCTTAAATATCCCTTTAATGCTCAGCCTTTTGATATTTACCAAAACCTACAGTAGCTAATTGCACAGAGACTCTGAGACTTGTCTGTTGAGACAAGCCAGTCATCCTGATCCCCACCTAAATCCCCGCCTTTGACCAGGCTCTAATAGAGAGCGTCTGTTTCCGTGCCATTGCTGTTGCTGGGTTTGTGATGGGAATGTGTTCTGACACGCATTCACAGGGTCAGCTTTGACGAGGGGAGGCAGTGGAACCAACACAGTTTCTCCTCTGTGCCTCTGTTCGTGGATGGAGTCTTGGTGGAGGCCGGGGCCGAAAACCAAATAATGACGTAAGTCCAGAAAATCCTAAAATGGATGAATGACACGGTAAAGGTGTTGATTTCTCTGCCCTTTTAGGAGCTATTGTGGGCTGAGGGAAAGGTGAATGGTTTTCTTTATTCTGTTCAGACCTCTGGGTTATTTTTTTAGGACTAGACAGATGTAGGACCTTTAAGGAAGTTGTCCATTTAAAGCTCTGTGGTATTTAGACTTTATTAAGCCACATTTCTGAGGGGCAGATAAAGGGATATGGATGCTGTTAGTCAGGGCTTTGTCGATATTAGGTCACTTGACAAATGGGTTTGATTATATGGAGATCACTTGATAATGGGACTCCTGTCGTTAAGCACCTGAAAACATGGCTTTAAATCTGAAATATTTTTCTCCAAAGTCAAATAGTCATGACTCAATAAGCAACAATCATGGTCAAAACATCTTTAGTTACAATTTACTGAGAGTTTCGCAGTCAGAAACTCCCATCAGGACTATCCAGACTATCACCATTATTGATTCGAGTGGCCTTTTATTGTGGCCAGCCTAAGGCACACCTGTGCAATACCCATGCTGTCTGATCAGCATCTTGATACGCCTCACCTGGGAGGTGGATGGATTATTTGTTTTATTTTTTATTTATATAGTTTAAGTTTACAGAGACAGTGCACATTGATAAACATTTCTGTAAATGTGCCAGTTTAGCCAGCTTGGCTAATGTTTGACTGTAGTCCCTGGGTAGGTGTTATCACAATTACATAAAATACACTAAAACAGGAACAACAATACTCATACATATAACAAGATACCTTTCACAAGGACACGTAAAATACTTTAAAACAAGGACAACAATTTAAAAAAACAAAACAAACCACTCTTCAGGTGTTTCTGAATAATTCACAGACTATGGTCACGCACTTGATTGTCTTTTAACCATGATTTTAAATTTAATTTAAATTAATATGTTTCACAATCTCTAATAATAATAATAATCTCAGCAAAGGAGAAGTGCTCACTAACACAGATTTTGACAGATTTGTGAACAATATTTGAGAGAAATAGGTATTTTGTGTACATAGAGAAAGTCTAAGATCATGATGAATAACAAAATAACAAAAGTGTTGTGTTCATAATTTTGTTTATTGTAATAATTACAGTCAGTCAGTTAAAGATTACAGCTAACTGGATCAGAATCAGAATTTTCTAGACTCGGCAAGGAGCAGAATGTTGCATGCAATATTCAATGACCACACAAGACAGTGAGTGATGAACTGGTACCTTGTATTTTTTTAACAATAAGAAAATATAATAACCATAGATTCAAAATACAGTTCACTTTATAGAAACGCCTCAGTTTCAGTCATTAACAAATCATTTCTTTTGTCACCTTTCTGTAAGGTTGAAACCACTGAGCTCTTATAATTACCTCTATTTTTCAGCTGGGCTAAAATCACTGATCTATTTTCAATTATGTATCTTTTCTTACTGGGTGCACCCTATTATCAATAACTCAAAGTCTCAATCCTCAATAATTACATCCGGTGAATAAAACTATATTACACAATACCTGTTTCAATATTGTCACTTCACATCTCGCTTCGACTTCATAATCGTTCACTTTTCACTGTATGAGCAATAGCCAAAATTATAATAACCAGGACATCACAATACACCATATAAACTATATGAATACTCAGTTCTGCAGACACCAGGGATGCATTTCCAAAAAGGATGAGGAAGGTAATTGTCCATTCAAAGTCCAAAATAAAAAAGTAGCACAGAGTTCCTCTCTTCAGGGCTCTTGAGGTCTCATCTGGGTTGGCTCACCATCAACTTTAACTCAGCTCAAAGAAAAAAACCTGGCCTGCAGTCATTGACACGGCCAGATCGGTTCATTAGTCAATAGCCTTTTCAAATGTGTTTCTGAAGTGTTCATTCCTTTAACTGTAACCTAAATATATTCATAAAATGCAAATGGCACAATTAACACTTTTTAAAAACATTTTACATCAAATGAACTACTGAGTAAAATTGCTATTTTAACTTAACACTGATTATACATTTTTAAATAAACAGAACAATGTTGCAGAAATTAAAACTATGGAGTGCAAATGCAACAGATTCACCATGAACCATGAAATAATGTCTGACAAAACACAACTTACAGTATGTAGCTTCAGTCTTAAACAGTATCTTTACAAGCCAGAAAAACATTGAGCAATTAAACACTGTGACATTTTTATATTCTGTCAGTTGAGTTGTCAAACAGATTAACTTTAGTTGAGGTCTACAACAGTAGGCTAATTGCACTGTTCATCACTCAATGCTAATTGATAATTCACTTCAACTCGCTAGCTTAGCCTAGCACCTTGTGACGCAGCATTTTATTATTTATTGTTTCCCGCGACTCACCAATTCGGGGATTTCTCTCTGTCATTCGGCAGATTTCAGTGAACAAGGCCTCACACATGCACACATCTACAATCATAAAGCAAACAGACTGTTATTACTATTATTTGACAACTTATTAATGTGAGTTTGCAGTCTAGTCTGCTACGGTGGAGTAGTATGTAGCTGCAGTATCAGAGGCTGCAGTTTCAGGACCGCAATCCTAGGACCGTAACCGTAACATAGCTACTAGCTATGTTACTCTTGACAGCCCCACAAAGGCAATTACCCTCACCCTAACCATCACAGGGTGCGTGCCTAAACCTAAGTTATTGATTATATGCATGTTGACCGGTTATTTGACTTGATATTTGATTTTGCCATGTTGCCAGATCTAAGCAATTACTTTGGGTAGCACAATGTTATTTTTACCAACAGAAATGTTCGCCAAAACTACAAAAAGTAGACCCAAGAAGTGATAAACCCAAATTGTCCTTCAATGTACCGAGGCACTGTGTCACCTCACATTATTTTAATTATTGCATATGCTGTCGTAGACTTGTTGATTTAGAACTGTCTATTTTTCTAGAAGTTTGTCATTTGTTTTTTGCAGCTTCTTTGGGCACTTCAGCCACCGTTCGGAATGGCAGCTCATCAAGATAGACTACAAGTCAATCTATGGCAGGAAATGCACAGAGGAAGACTATCAAACCTGGCACCTACACAACCAGGTAAGAAAATTAAAAACATCATCAAAGCATCATGCGTTGCATACATGCCATAAAAAGAAGTAGCACTCACAGGACTCATGGTGCTTATTGTGCCGACAGGGTGAGCCGTGCGTGATGGGACAAAAACAAATTTACATGAAGCGCAGGCCTGGAAACTACTGCATGCTGGGAAACGACTACTCCAGAATCCTCTCAGCGGAGTCCTGTATTTGTCGAGCTCATGATTTTGAATGGTAAGATGATGTGCGCCTTTTGTACAATAGCTTCTTTCTTCATAATCATCGAGGGGGATTATGTTCCTCTCCATTGTCTGCTGAAGGAGAGCTTCATTAACAGCAATTTTTGTTCTCCAACACTACCACACATGTAGACACTATCCTTTCAATGGCAGTGTTTTTTCATTAATCGTTCCAGATTTTTTTCAGTATGTTTGGACTTTAATTATTTTCTACTGGGCAGCTGCCAAATGTGAGTCTAACAGTATGAATGTGAGTCAACAGGTCAGTTAAATGCGATGCCCAATCAAAAGCACCTATATACTGAAGTAAACGGCTGATATTCAGGAGCCATTTGTTATTTCCATATTCATCCACCCAGCTACCATTAAAAACCCTCTTTGGCCCCCTTTGAAGTGATAACCAGGCTGATCAAACCTACCGACTTTAGCTACAAACAACTCACTCATTACTTCAAGGCTGGAACTTTATAAGCTGAATTTGGTGCAAAGCAGGCAAACAAAATGCACAGATTAGAAAAGAACTGATGTTTTGAGCTACAATGTTCTACATACTCTTTCTTTTCGTAATACGTTTATAATCCCCACATTTGTCACACAAATATTAAGTGGATGCAGACATATTTTGAAGAAAATGTGCTTGATGGATGGGTGCTGTTAGAGAAATACTGCAGAGGTGGGTTTTTCAGCCGAGGAAAACTGACACAAACAAAGCAAGTTACAGATAGTCACATTTGTTTAAAAAAAACCCTGAGTGAAAGTAGGTGATTTATTCCTTAGCGGGGTGTATCATTTTCTGCGATCAGTGAATTAACAGTTATTAACAAGTATGCCGCCTGGACAACAGAGGAGTCTGTACAAACACCATTTCCACTCTACTGCCCTTTAAGTGGAATCCATTGGATATGCTGTTCATGGTCTCATTAATTCATTCTGTTTGCTGTGTGTTTTCCAATAATCGGATAAATTTGGGATCGTTTTATACAATTTGCTCATAATGTCTGTCTCCATCGTGTTTGACTGTGAGCTTGCTTTGCTTGTAATTCTGTTGAGAAGATGTGGGGTTGTAGGGGGTGTGAATAGTTTCAATTTGTATGCAAATCCTTAATATTTGTATTTTTTATCTTGTAATGACAGGGAACAGAAAAAAAGCCATCCCATCATACAGTACAGCAGTTATGTAAATAGTGTTTGTAGAAGGTCAGAGAGTGTTTGCTAATTGGTATCCATTGAACTAGTGTAAAGTTTTGGGTTTTTTTTGTTGTTGCTGTGTCTGATTTTGGACTGTCAATCTTGCTCTGTCGCTCTCTACAAGGAATTATTTGGCGGATGTTTAAAATGAGGATTTTATAAACCACCAATGCAGAAAAAAGCTAAAATCCTTTAACTTAATTTGCATACTTTTTAGCCTTGTATCAAATAATGGTGCTATTAAAGTTATATTAAACCTCCATAATTTGAGTACCAACTGAACATACAGAAAACAATGTATGTTGTTTTTCTAATGTATTGTAATGTTTCTTTTCCCTCATTTGCAACCCTTTTTCTCCAAGGTGTAAAAAAATAGTGTGACATTTTTAGAAAAATATGTGCTTTCTTTTGAAAAGTTAGATGAAAACATCTGTGCCAATGTCATGTCCATGCATTATGCATCAGGATGTGGTTAGCTGATCGAAGCATAAAGACTGACAAAGCTGGAGGCTGTTAGCCTGGTTTTCTTCAACGTTAAGAAAAACAGCTACTAATACCTCTAAAACCTACTGATTAAAATATTTTATTCCAAGAAAACAAATACAGCTCATCTGGTTGCCTGGCAACTTCACAAACATAGTATTAGCACTTTACTCTCCTTAAATGCAATACAATGTGTGAATTGCTAAGCTACAAGCATTATAGGTGCTGATAGGTCTGTTTTTATACTTTTATAAAAAATTAAATTGATGCCTAACACTTCCAAAACCGTTTTTGTTGTGTTTTCCTGTAACTACAAGTTACATAGTAGATTTGTTTATCATTTTACAGAACGCACTCCCTTCATGCTACTCACAATAAACATTACATACAAAAATGTTAGACACTAGGTGTGTGAAGAAATAACAAGTCATAAACACACGAACACATCATTCATTAAAAGAGAAATGGGATGTTTAATGTAATGTTTGAACCATGATCCCAATTCTGTGTGCACACCCAGCTTTAACACAATGTGCACAGACTCACGCTCTGTTATGTCTTGAAGACACGATACTAACCTTTTACGTCTTTGGCCATGCGCCTGTGCAACCATCTGCCTTGACAGCTTGTTAATGAATAGTTCACGCTGCATAATCACAGAATGAAACTGGACTAGTCAGTCACTGGCTTGTTGGTTTTGTTTATTTGTTCTGGCTTGGTGATTAATTGATAAATCAATGTCATGACCATTATTAGAATGGGCACTAGCTTACCTTGCTTTGTTAGATGTAAATCATGGTCTTGTTGGAAACAGTAGCGGGCATGTGAGAGTTAGTCATCCTTTGTGTATGGTAACAATTCCAGCCTGTGTTTCCAATAACACTGCTTTACGCTGCTGTGGCACATTTGTCAACAGTCGCCTTAATCAATACATAATAATGATGGGTCTCTCTGCCAGAAAGGCCCCTGGTCACCAGTAATAAAGAGATAGATAAGATAGGGATGTGGAACACACTGTATGACAATATGTCCCTTTTCACATGATATTGATTAGGTGCCGTGTGGATGTGCTTTGTTGTCTGACAGTGACTATGGATATGAACGCAGCGGCGACGGGAACTGCCTGCCTGCCTTCTGGTTCAATCCCTCCAGTGTCTCCGGAAGCTGCAGTCAAGGTCAAAACTACCTCAACAGCACAGGGTGAGGACTATGTGATTTACTCAGAATTCATATTTTACCGTATTATAATATGTACATCCATGTGAATTTAATCTTCGCACAAATCTGTCTGTGTAGGCTTTCTCTTGGATGCTCAAGCAGGGTTTTAGAGCAGATACCAGTCACAGATTTAACAACACGCTCTCACTCCCAAGTCGTTACATATGGATGCTTGGTCAATACCCCTTGGCATCGCGTTTTAACGCACTGGATACCCCTTCAGCATCGTTTTTGTAGGCCAAACAGTAGTGCATTAAGCACAGTTTTTGAGGTTGAGATTTTGAAATTTGGGGGCAAGCACAAACAGGATATTCATAAGATTTATAAGATTCTAATGTGGCCATTCAAAACTATGAAACCTCTCAAGTCCTGTAGTATTGTGCATTGAATTGAGCAAGGTTAAGCTAAAGGTTTTTAAGCTTATGAATTCCATTTTGTAGATTGTGTTGTTTCTTATTTAAAAGTTAAATGGCTGTGCTTTGCAGATCTGAGTACTGCTTCTACCACTGGCATAAACTACATGAGTGTAGTGAGCACCATTGTGTCAACTAGACACCACCAATCAAATACTACTAATGAATATTGATCCAATTTCCAATGACTTCCCAATTAGTGTCACTGCAGTACACCATGTAGGTTTAGACACTTGTGATAATAACTGATATATTCTAAACACATTTGTTTCTGTGGTGTAATAATTTACTTTTATTGCATTTTTCTTTCTTGTGCCAGCAAGATGTTTGAGGATCCCCAGAGGACAGACACCTTGCAAAGCTTAACCACAGTGGGGGTGTTTTTATTCACGATGTGATTAAGTTTTGCAAGGTGTTTCAGCCTCTGACACAATTTGTGTTGTCAGTTGTTATCTAGTCTGTGTTTGCTGTTGTTAGGCACAACAGCTGTACTAACACACCACTCTGCTCTCCCAACAAAACTGCAAGCTCATGTAGCATCTAGGGGACTGATTCAAACACTAAAGGAATATGTGGACTTGAGTAGAGTGAACTGAAAAAAGGAAAAATACACTAAGTTGTAGGCTCTTTTCACAATTAAATGTTTTGGATCTTTCCAAAGGTACCGTAAAGTGGTGTTGAACAACTGCACTAAAGGAGTTAAAGAAATGTACACGGCCAGAAAGCAGCAGTGTCCCAACAGGCCCCCTAAAGGACTCCTGCTGACTGCCAAAGATGGCAAACTCACTGCCAACCTGGGCAGCAACGTTACCTTTCTGGTGCATCTGGATGAGGTGAGAACACAACCAACATGTCTACTTCGCTAGTCTAGCTATATACACTGTTTCCCTCAGACATTGATTTGTACTGTTGATTTTTAAGTAAAGCTGCATTAATTGATTGTTGCTCACCATGGGGCAGAAAAACCTTTTGACAGATACCATACCAATGGTGTATAAGTTACTTTTGCTAACAAGTTAGCAACAAATTTATACTAACTAACATTCATTTGGAGTCATGTTTTGGCCACCTAATGAATGTAAGTCTGATATTTACTCTTATTTTACCTCTTGTTTAATCTCCACCAACGCCTGAGAGAAAAATCTGGCTCTGTTGCTAGTAATTGTACCACTATGGTCACCAGCTACCTTTGGTGCTGGGCAGCTAGAGTACAGCAGTGGTTCTGAAAGTGGGGTCTGGGGATAATTCTCTGTGGCTTCATTACTGTGATTGACCATATTCACATTACAGTAATGTTCTGCATTGTTAATTGAATAATATTTATTAGTGCAGCATTTTTTTCAAATATATGTTTTTGTGCTAAAGGGGAAATACCACATCAATTCATATTACTTCTAAACAGACCTCAATCAGCCAAAGGTCAATACTTGCCAGGTTTACATGCTGTGGAGAGGGACAACATGTTTGGTCTCTCTGTGCAGGAAATTCATCATCATATATGGACAGAGCTCAATACTTGGTCCACTGATGGTCAGCTTGTATATATTGCCTCTAGACCACATCATCTGCAAACACAGCATATGTTAACATAGTTACGCTGCTGACACACAGTTATACCTATCCTTGTCCCCCAGATACAGATACCTTGTATTATTATTAGCTGATAAAAACATTTGGATGTCCCAAAACTTCCTGCTGCTCACACACAGTGCCAGATTTGTGAGTCTCTTCTTTCAGCGTTTAAAACAAATATGTAATATGGTAACTTTAAAGACACGTAAAATAAAAGTAAATTTGTTTGTTCCTATACAGCAATGAATGAGACCAAAGGTGCATGTATGGAACTAAGTTTAAATGTGTATTATTGTGTTTATGAAACATTGCAAGATATAATTTACAAACCTGGAAAAAAGTTTGAGTGAGTCTGCTGATTCCTAGGAAAGTAAATCCGTTCTAAACACTCTCTAAAGTTTAATAGAGTCAAATGGCTCCAAATCACCCACGCAATGCAAGAGTTCTGAGCCAGAAGCAAAAGAAAAAGACCTCACTGGAGACCCTGTTAGTGAGTGAGAGGCACTGTGTTCAGAGCCAGGCCTGCCAGGCTGCCTCGTCACTAGGAAACTGCCTCACATTACTCCGTCAGAATATAGTCCGTTGATACTAACTGAAGACTTTGGGGCATTAGCAACATGAGTGTTTTCCTACCACTGCAACAGCTCAAGGCAAGTGTGTGTCCCCAGGGTCTTGTCCAGGCCCAGTTGTCATATTACTCTGTGATGAGTTGAGGAATCAAGACCTGTTTCTTTCATTATGAGGGGGATTGTCTGATCGAACGGAGAGGGTAGGGGTTGATGGAGGAAGGGAGGTGGGTAGCAGAACGATGTGATAAAAGAAGAGAAGTGTGGGTAAAGAATCCTTGTGGCATCAGACCCATTTTAGAAAATTCCTAAGATGATTTCAAAGTTTAATTTATATTCATGAAGTCTGCAATGGCTGTATTTCTTGGGGAGAGAAAATGCGCCTAAATATTTAATGGGCTGAAGACTCTGTGGGGCACGTCCACATTTAGAAGAAGAAAAAATTTAAGATTAGTCTGACCACATGTTGTGTTTTCATGGTCAGCACTGGTGTTGTATTGTTTGAGAAACCTGTTATGCAACACAATAATTACAGCTGGGCTGGGCTTGTAAAAGTGACACACTTCTCACTAAGCAGTTAATAGAGAAGAGATTTGCTTGTGCCTGAATGACATCAACCAAATTTCAAACAATTCATGACGAATTTATATGCCATTCCATATTTGTCATCAAAGGATGGAGATACAGGGCATTTGAGACACTTTATTCATTTTATTTTCTCTCTCAAAAGTATCAAATTGGCTTTTCATAAAAATGTATCCAAGTTGCAAGTCCATGTGAAGTCCATGGCTCACTTTCTGCTAATATCTGCCACACTTTTCTCTTCTTCCTGCACTGTGTTGTTGGTTATGGTTGTTTTCATTGCCTTGCTGCCTACAAAATGAAAGTGCCCGAGCCGTCTGTTGGAGGTAGACCAAATCACTAATTTGTAATTGATTGAATTTAATTATTTGCAATCCTAATTTTTATCCAAAAATATTCATACTGGTTCAAAAGAATGGGAATGTGTGTGAATGGGATTATAGGTCTGTTCCATATGGATGCCTGTCACCAAATATAGGCAGGGTGAGTTCAGTGATTTAAGCAAATAAAAGCCCAGGCTGTTAATACAAGTTTTACGGTAACTGCATGTCAATAAACTGACTGCAAAGAAACAGTTCATTGCTGTACCTGTGGCTCGTGGAAATTCCCCAGTAACTCTCTTGTGAACACTATTATGAAGACTCTCGTTCAAGGCTTATAGAAACTGACACTTGAGTCTGTTGCTGCATCCAAACTATGCACATTTGCAGCTCTAACAATGTACTAACCACTAGATAGATCAATGCACGCTGCATGTTAAAAACCTTTCCAGCACCTGTCCTCAGTCCTGTCTTTGGGAAAGTTTTGCAACAACCTGATCAACCTTGGATTAAACAGCAAAATATGATGAGCTCATAACCTCAGTAGTTTTCAAATCTTAGCTAGACAACTAGCCCTGCAGATGGCCAAGCTAAAGAATGAATGCAACCAATTGAAATGAAAAACAGTGCATACAGTATGTACATCATATTTTGTTTTCTCTGACAATTCATTTTTAAATCAACAAGTACAACTAATCAAATCAGATGGTGACACAGAGTGAGCGCTGACTTCCTGCGGATAAACTGGCTTCCCTCTTGGTTCAGCGTTGTCATTAATCAGATTTGGCTTCACTTTTGCTGGCAATACTTGGCTAACAAAAGCTTTGCCAGCTCAGTGCTTAAGTTGGAAAGAGACACTGGTGTGAGCATGCTTCATTTTTGTACTTTCATCACAGAGGCACTGTTGATTTATACTCATAAAAACTAAAATAATTGTTGGAAATCTTAATTTTTAATTGTCTCCTTAAGGTGCAAAAACTTGAAAGGGTTTATTTATAACAATGTTCAGCTTGATATAAATTTGTGCTCCCATTTGTGTGGCCATATAGCAACTCCTGTTCAATACGGAAGTTTTAGCCAGCCATTTCACTCTAGTCACATTTGGGAGAAAATGTTCAAAAGTTGTTCTTGCTCACTCATTTTTTCTTTTTGTCAAAATGATTTCTGCCCCAGTGGAATAACCTGATGGAGTCTCATCATTGTGATTGATAATAACAGGCACAGCTACTCAGGATTCCCAGCTAAAATATTAACAGCAATGTGCATTTTCAAACTCTGTGCAGTCATTATTGTAGATTTGAACTTGTCCTGACTTGTTAAGTTATTAGTAAGGTCAGTTTTTACTTCTATTTCCAATGATTTCCAACATCTTTTTTTATCTTTCAATTTATGTCAAGTACTCATTTCAGTTAGATATTACAAATCAGATAGTCCATTTAATATTTTATGGAAATAAAGAATGGAAAAATGTTGTTCTTAAAGAAGGCCACTGGGGGCAGCAGATCAAGCTGTCAAAATTATCACCTCACAAAGTTGTTATACGAACATGTTAGCAACCAATTGCCTTTTACAGAGAAACGCTAGCATTTATTTGGCGTTTGTTTCTGGCCACCTGATAAATGTAAGAATGTATTAATAAATTTTTCTAGACCTGGTTTTAAATGACACCATTAACTCTTGTAATCATTTAACTTCCAACAATTATAGTTCTAAAATAAAATAATGAAATATCACATCTAAAATGTTCTTTTCAGCATATAGCAACAGAGCCGCTAACATTAGACATTTCTTAGTAATATCCAACAGCAAGGCAGCAACATAAGGGCCAAACCAAAATAGAACCATCATAATATGTTGAAAAGTTTTTTTTATTTAGATCAATTACTAACTGCACTGCCATACACTTTTCTTGGTTTAAAAAGATACATTATTATTTGTAATTTTTTGCATTTGTCTTATTTGTTTATAATCATATAGAAATTTTTGAATTCTGAGGCAGAAAAAAAATAAAGCCATAGACCTGCTTCCTAGGAAGTACTATAACAGACATTTCTTCCCAGAAGGATTGAAATGCATAAGAGAGTTCAGTTAAATCAAAGTTCAGTTAAAAAAAACGAAAAAAAGGACGATTTTTCCAAAATGTGTGACATTAATTAATTTTGAGTATAAATTTCCACTTGTATAAATAACATAACAATAATAATTATCTTTAAGTAACAATGCTCCCAAACAGAATATTACAGCGAAAACATTAACCCTCACTGCAGAAACAACATGGACTCTCTCACTGTGTACCGTGTTAATAACCAAAATGAATTTCAAGAATTAGTCACAACAGCAGTGTCTTTTGTTATCACATATCACGTTGACGTGCCTGTCCCTGTGTATCCGAACCCTTGTCACCTCGTACAAGAGTGTTTTCATGCAAACCAATACCGACGGGCCACCCTCAAGGCTCCAGCCGTGATGTGTTTGGATCTGCTCAGCCCTGGGAGATACATGTACACAAAGAGTGACATTTAGAGAGATGGGTCAGTATCAGTCTTATGCAGATTAGTGAATCCCATTGTGGCTGGTATAGAGAGCAAGCGTGAACACAGAATGGACAGCACAGAGCAAGAACAGTTGAGTGACATCGGCGCCATCAAGCCCGAGTCTTGTTTGCATGCCAGCTCATTACAGCTCTTAACAATGCCTGCACTGTCAAACCCTGCTCTTAGCTGTTCTCTATTCTCTCCAGCCACTTATTGAAGCTATCATTTTCCAGGCAAAGTGACATGAAATATACCCAGA